CTCAGGCAGCAAGAAATCACATTTTAAAGTTCCAGTAATAGGTTTATTTGTTCCAATAACTTAGCTGCCACACTCTTGCTACTTCTGTTCCCCACACCCACCATCGAGAATTCCTGGTCAAATCTTTAAGAATTAAGGCAAGCTGATGCCAAGGCTTTGCAGCAGCCCTGACTCTTCATGTAGTCAGTGTTAGATATGTAGCTACTCCTCTTTTTACACACCCACTACAACTTCTTTATAGGTCTCTGCTCACTAGACGAGTACTACCTGTTCTTTTTTTTATTAGGCTGTAGCCCGAGTACCAAGCTGTGATGGCCCGTGTCAGGGTTTTTGCATGAATGAATTAATCTGAAAACCTTGCTTCTTTTCCAGGGCTATATGTGATATGCTTAGTAATGATTGTTATGGCAGAGGAAATAGTACAGAATGTCTTGGAAATCTGAAGCCATTAAACAGAATAGAAATTTTTTTTCATGGTTGGCTAGCATGAACTAGGAGGGCATCAAAACAAATGCAATTCATCTTTTTTGGTTTTTGGTCAGGGGCTCACTATGAAGCCCAGCTGGACTCAAACTCAAGATTCTCCTGACTCAGTCTTCTGAGTGCTGGGATGACAGGCATGCATCACTATGTCCATCTTGGAATTCACTTTTAGACACTATAGAATTTTTAATTATGTTTTGGACAATTTGGCTTGCTCAAAATTATTTTGACCAGTCAGGGTCATGCACACCTGTAATCCTAGCACTTGGAGGCTGAGGCAGGGGAGTCTAAAATTCAAGATCAGCCTAGGCAATACAGCAAGACCCTGTCTCAAAAATAAAAACAAACCAGGCACCGGTGGCTCATGCCTGTAATCCTAGCTATTCAGGAGGCAGGTATCAGGAGGATCGTGATTCGGAGCCAGCCTGGGCAAATAGTTTGCAAGACCCTATCTCAAAAAAACTCATCACAAAAAAGAGCTGACAGAGTGGCTCAAGATGTAGGCTCTGAGTTCAAACCCAAGTACTGCAAAAAACCAAACAAATACAAACCAAGCAAAGATTCTAGATGTGTAGATGAGTTGATGACACTATTAGCAATCTTACTGAGAACTCTTTTGCAGCTTTCTCCAATACATTACTTCATCTCAGACTTTCGACCTTTTGCAATGCTGTCAGTGCCACCAAGAAGTCCACAGCCCAGTTACTCCTACCAAGCGTTACATGCCTTCCCTAGCAACTTTAACTTGGCTTTCAAAACCGAACCTTTCTGGCAACTATCCTAGTTAATCTCATCCTCTATGAGGCTGTAAGGTGCCACTTCTGTCTTTCTCTAGGATCAAAATATGCCTTAAATTCAAAACTAAATTCAATTTTTAGATCATTTGTGAGCATAGTATTAAAGATAATCAAGAACTTATTATTTTCTCATAAAAGACTATTTACCATGACCATGCTCTGCCAATACAAAATGCACCCCTCAATATGTGACCTCTCCAAAGTCAGAGATCTCTTATACATATTTGAAACATCCCTTGCCACACCCCAACTCTAGCCCTTCTCCCAAATATAGCTCTAAGTCTTGCCAGTTATTTGGCACTCAGCAAGTAACTGTTCAAGAAATCAAAGCGTCATTCTTAAAAGACTACACCAAGAATTCAGCTAAAAGAGCATCCTGTTTATTAACCTGCAATATATGAGGTAAAGTCAACACTGTATCTATAAAGGTACTTCTTTAATGATTTTTTATCAATTTCCCCCTATCTTAGTTGAGCTAACTTCTAAATCTGTGAGCACCCGTGCCCTTTCTTTATGCTTCCTCAGCACCTATGCATGTCATTCTATCAAGTCCAAACCCTATTGTGTGGATGCTCTGCTTATCATTTCCAATAAAGCATGTGTCTTATGCATGTCTATCTGGACTCAGTACAATACTTGGCCCAAAGTAACAGCTCAATATGGCTACTAAAGTAAACAGACATTAGACATTGGTCTAACTTTGTAACAGTGCTTACTGCTGATGTTGTAATAGAATATGATCTTAAAGTCATGATTTTTTGTTTTGTTTCTGTTTTGGTCTAGCAGTCCTAGGGTTTGAACTCAAGGCCTCAAGTGCTCTACCATTTTACCCATGCCTCCAAGCCCTTTTTGCTTTAGGGATTTTTCAGATAAAATCTCACTTTTTTTCCTGGGGCTAGCTTCTGACCATGATCCTCCTACCTCCACCTCTCAAGTAACTGAGATTACAGATGTGTACCACCATCTAGGTCTGATTTTTGGATAGGGTCTTGCTTACTTTCTTGCCCTGGCCTCAAACCATGATCCTCCCATCTCTTCCTCCTGTGTAGCTGGGATTACAGTCATGTACCACCACACCAGGCCAAGTCATAATTTTTTTAAAGACAAAAAATATTTAGATCCAAAAAGCATCTAGTACTGGATTCCAGTGAGAAAAGCAATGGGTTTCAAAAGAACTAGAAAATTCCTGGGACTTGGGAAAATTACCAGTATTCAATTTCACAAGCATACCACCTATTCTGTAAAAAAAAAATCTAGTGTTACACAGAACACTTGCGATGGCTGAATGTGTGGGTTCTCCTGGCTCCTGCTACATTCTGATTAAGAGCAGGAAATTTAAGTCTGAGCAGCCTTCTCAAGGATCTATATAAATATTCAAATACCCATTCGGCTTCTCAAAGTCACAACACAACTGGTTCCTTGTACCCAACTGGGCCACATTCTGTGAGGGTCATCCTTTCCGTCTCTGCAATCACCACTACAATACTGGCCCTTATAGTTCTGCTTGACTACCCCCATAGTCTAACTGGACTGTTTCCAGCTTTTCCTGTTTAATCCATCTATCACACAGCCACCAAATTAACCTCCCTTTAAGGTCAGTGTTGAAGAATTTTGTCACTTAATCCCTGAGCATTTGGTAACATCTGTAGACATTTCTGGCTGTCAAAACTGCAAGAATGCCACTGGAATTTACTGGGGGGGGGGGGGAGAGACAAGAATGCAGCTAAACATCCTACAATGCTTAGGACAGCCACTATCACAATTATCTGGCCATACATCACCATGTAATCTGGGCCAAGTTTTAAATTCTTTGAGTATCAGTTTCCTCATCTGTACAATGGATCTACCTGAATTGGATCTACCTGAAGGGGTTGTCAGGAAGATTGAGTTAGTCATTATATTAAGAATGCTGAACACAGGGTCTACAAGTAAAATGTCACTCACTATTTTTTAAAGGTGCTAATTTCTTTTTTTTTTTTTTTTGTCTTAACAGACTTATTCTCATGCCAAGACTAGAATGTAGGCTGATAATGGGTACATAAGCCTGGAGAAGAGGATTTCAAATGAATATCAAAGAGGTGTTTTTCTGTCGATAGGATAAGCAAACAAGGTTTCTAAACTGTGGTTGGAACAAGTGCTGTTCACCTGGAATGATGTTAATGTCATTATCAAAAAATACAGCAGGAAGATTAAGAAAATTGCAGGCTGATGAGCTTACCATCTGAAGAAAAAGAGTACATTAAGAAGTCTGTACATCCAGCATCAGAGCATCAGGGTACACTGACCCCTTTTCACTGACAGACTACTTTACTTGGAAACACTATGGATAGGATGTATCTGGAATGCTAGGACCTTTCAGGAGTCTTGTAGAAACATGGCTTAGATACAATGACAATTATGTCAGTTTTTAATTGGTGAAGTAACTGCACTAAAGGTGGTGCCTAGCCCAATGCCACCACAGGCGTTTACACTCATTCCCACCCACCACTGTCTGCAGCCCATCCCTCCACACTGTTCTGGACTCAGCCTTCTTGCCTTCTCAAAGACCCAACTTCTTCCATCACTGCTTTTCCATTCTGACATTCCAGCAGATCACTTACTCCCACCTAACTTCAAATACCCCTCACTATCTCTTTCTCCACCCCCCTTTCTCCTACAGTTTCTGCCCATTTCTCTGCCCCCCTCCCCCATCTGCAGTCAACCTTCTTGAAAGAGTTGTCCTAAAGTCTCCACTTTCTCACTGGCTACCATTTTTAACATTCTACAAAATTGGCCAAACTCAATGACACTTTTCTGCCCACATTTTACAGTTAAGTTCTGAACTGCAGTTAAAAAGCCAAACAGAACCAACAAAACAGAAGTACAGTATAGGAAAAAGGATGTCTGGTTTAGCAGCAGCAGAAACTTAAGAGAACAATTTTAGTCACAGGAAGCTCAGAATGAGTCAATCATGTGATCTCTAAGGCTAATGTGATCACTCTCAGGGTCCCAACTCAATCCCAAGGAGGCATTTTCCAAAATAAAGCTTAAACTATCATTACTGCCTGAAGATGTCACCTGCTGCCCCGGGACAGCGAGCGCAGTGTGTAAGAAGGGTCTCCTGGCATACAGTAAGATCTTTTCTTTAATCCACACAGTAACTAAATTTCTCATCTAAGCTCAAGATGAGCGGAAATGATTGCCAGTCCAGTCAGTATTATAAACCTATGTTTTAGCAAATGAAAAAATATACAGAATGAAAGGCCAGGTTTTCTGACTCAAAGTTTGGAATATTCAGATCTGCTTCATGAAAATGAAGAAACCAAACTTTCCATTGAAGGGACAGCGTGACCCTGGAGTGCGCTAGAGAAAAGCTTCAATTCCTGCCTACCTACCCAACTTCGGGAAACGGTGAGCAGAAAGGGACCCATGATTCCGAAATCATGGCGAGGAGGGCTTCCCACTCGGTAGAACCACAACCTTTCCTGCGATGGATTCTCATTTCTTTAGAACTCCGTCTGCCTAGGGTTCCTCCCTCCACCCCAGCCACCAAAGGCGAAGATCTAATCGCGTGTGTAGACGCGCCCGCCTGCCTCTCTCAACACCACCAGCGGAACCACAGTAGTCAGACCGACAGCTTCCCTAACACCTCCCACAGCCAGACACCATCAGAGGCCACTCCTGACTTGCACGGAGTCCAGAAGTCGTCCTCCCCCAACTTCCGCGCCCTAGTCCGCTCACCAGCGTGGGACATGGACCCGGTGAGATTCCCATATTGTTCCTCGTTGTACACCACTACCGCCGAAGCGTTCCTCCGCGCCGCAGCCAGCACCTTGTCCCTGAACGTGCAGCCTCCTCGCGCCACCAAGGCGACCCAAGGCGCGGACCCCCGGCAGCCGGGTGCGAGGAAGCGCGTGTCGGGAGCACAACCCTCGGGGTCTCCACCTGGCCCGCGCGGAACGCCCACCAGGCCCTGTGTGGCCTCCTTGGGAGAACTATCGCCGAAGCGGCCGCTCTCCGAAACGCTCCACACCGTTAGATTCGTCTGCGGGTCCACGTACTCGATGCCCACCACAGCCGAGTACCACTCGAGCGCCTGGCCCCGTGTCCCGGGCGCGCAGAAGGCCAGGGCCAGCAGCGCCAGCGCGCCGCGGGCTCGGACGCCAGCCTCGGGCCACCGCCGCCACGCCATAGCCGCACCCGCGGGCTGCAAAAGAGAAGCCGGCACACGGAGAGAGCGAGCGAACATACGAGACCGCGCCGCAAGGACGAGAAGTAGACACCCGTCCACCTCCGATCCCGAGTGTAGTAGAACGGGGGCGGGGCCACGGCGCACGCACACTTGGAGGGGCGTGGAGCGTGGCGACGCAAGGGGCGGGTCGCCACGTTGGCCCCGCCCCCGATCGGCCCTCGCGCAGAGTGCGCAGGCGTGAGATGCCGGCGCTGGACGATTTAGGAAGGGGCTCAGTGTCCCACGCCATGGCCTGCGTCAGGACGGACCGCTAGGGCCGGAACCCGGCTTGCGCAATAGGACGTTGAGCGCCCGCAAGTCTGGGGAAGCCGGAAGCTTGTGCTGTGAGACCACGAGTATGTGAAACAGCTCAGCCGGTGTTTGATTAGAGTTGACTGTGCAACATACAAGGCAAAGGCCTGGCTCGTCTGAAGCACTTCAAAATGTATTTGAAAAAGGATCAAAAGCCACGCACGTTATTATCCGGATGTCTTTCGTTACCAATTTTATAAGGCACTTAATTGGTTACTTACCGCTTCTCTCGAGCGATCCTATTAGTACCACATTTTATGTATAATGTGTAACCAACATTTAGATGTACATCAATCAATCAATCAAGAAAAAGGGAGGCTTTCCTTTGGTCTGGAAATACTGGGTGATATAGAGTGACTACAAAACTGCAGTGGGTACAAAGCCTACTTGTTAGGCAGCAGTACATAGTTTGCCATGCTTTGCTCTAAGATCTTGGACCGTAGGGCCAGAGTGAAGCTCAGAGGTGAACCTGAGGCCCCAGTTCGATCCCCAGCACCGCCAGTAAATAAATGAACTTGTATGTTTTGACCCCTTGGAGAATATGGAATCTTATGAGACCCCCTCATATAAGAGAACTTGGAGTAAATTTCTCTCCTAGAATGTGACATCACACTTTGTTAGATCTTATAGGTAAATTATTGGACACCAAAATACAAATTTAAGAGTTTGATGGGGACACTTTGAAAGCTTAGATGATAGCAAGGCTACACAGCTTTGAGAGCTGCTGCAAAGAATACCACCCCTACCCCCACTCCCAGCATATGCTGTGACACATCTTCAAACTAATCTCCCAAGCCTAGTGGCACCCACTCTGCCATTACCCTCTAGCTTGGAGGCACCTCAAGTATTGTCACAAATTCTGCTGTATTGGTTCTCCTGAGAACCACTGGTGTAAGGTCCACCTCAATCTTTAATTACACTTTACTTTCCACAGAGGCCTGCTTCCATCCTACTTGACTGGTCTAATGATTTTTGAACTCACTCCCTGTGGTTAATGTGCCTCCTCTACCAAGTGTATTCCTTGTGAAATTTGTTCGTGTTATTCTCCTACTCTTTAAGCATTGTGAACCTAAGGAAAAAATTCTCTTTGTATGGCAATAAGCTATGTGATTCGTGAAATCATATTTTGATCATCTTATTTTCACCATACAAAACACTATGATGCAGCCTTGATTTCTGACTGACTCATCCTCCTTCTTTGCACAAGGGTCTATAATTACAGGAAGTGGTTTGTTGCTGCTCACACCATGTGTTTTATGTTGGGCCTTAAACCTTTTCATGTTCCTCTTTGTCTTTCTTGAGCTGCATCTGTGCTCCGGAGTGCTGCCTGGCCTATAACTGTGAATATCCTTGAAGTTGAATCGCCTCTCCCTTTCCCATAAGGAAACTAATTTTAAAAAGCAAATAAAGTCCTAAGCATAAAATAAGGAGGTGAAGTATGATGGTGTATGTAGACAGGCGAACAAGTCCTAGAACCCCTGACTTTATGCTCCAGTGAAAGAAGTACTTATCATTTCCAGAATACATTATTGTGGTTTCATGCTTTGTCTTACAAACTCATCTTCTTCCTGAACTGTCCTCTAGCTCCTGGCAAACACCAACTTAGTCTTGAAGTTTTAACTCCAAAACCATTTGGTCTGTGAAACATATTTTGGTTAACTATAGGCCAACAGGTACTCCTAATAGTTTCCCTGTTTCTTGTTTATCTTACAGTCTTTGTCTTTTTTTCTTTTTTTGGTTGGACCTGGAGTTTGAACTCAGGGCATCACACTTGCAAGGCAGGCACTGTACCTCTTGAGCCATTCCACCAGTCCATTACTTGGGCATCTTATGCTTACACATTAATGTATCAGCAATACTGATTTCCAAGTAGGGTTTTTGGGCCTTCTTATGTAACACTATGAGCTTCATAAGGGCCAGGATTGCTTGGTTGCTCTTTTCATGAATCTGCCTCTGCTAGCACAGTGTGTGACCAGTGTTAAAGGAGCAAATTCACTCTTTTTACTGTTCCAGGGTTAAGGACTTGTGACTGATTGATTACAAGGTTGCTGCTCAGAGAAGTCTGTCAGGGTCACCAGAACAGACCTTGTAGCCATTGAGTTCTTAAGTCTGGTTTATACTCTTGGTCTTTATGCTTTCATTACCAGCTCCAAGCCTCAGCTGGCTTTCTCTGGTGCAAAACTTAAACTTCAAGGACCTTCTTCTCCACACTGGCTACCAAGTACCCCTCAGTCTTTTCAACTCCCTTCCCCCTTCCCTTCTTCCCCAGAAGAGCTAACAGACCTTACTCATTTTTTTTTTTTAAGTAGGGGAAAGGAGAGAGGCTTTATTACCTTTTCTTTTAATCTTTTTGCTATGGAAAATTTCAAACATATCCTAAAGTAAACTAATGCTATGAAGCGCTGTGCACATATAACGTGGATTCAAGAATGATCAGCTCATGACTAATTTCATTTTAAGTTTACTCCCAAACACTGCCTTTTCTCCATTGGATACTTTGAAGGAAACCCCAGACATCACACTATTTTATTCACAAAAATTTTAATATGTAACTCTGGAAGATAGGGAGTCTGTAAAAAATGTAACCATCAGTATGATCTTTTTTTTTAATTGACTTTGAGCCAGACACAGTGGTTTTGCTCCTATAATCAAGTCCCAGTGACTTGAGTGGCTGAAGCAGGAGGATAGGTTGAACCCAGGAGTTCGAGGCAAGCCTGGGCAGCATAGCAAGACCTGATATCAAAATAAATAAATGAATAAAAATGAACTTTAAAAATTGATTGCAGTTTTGCAATACCAATGAATAGGGCTGGGAGAATAGCTCAAGTAGTAAAGAACCTGCTTAGCAAGCCAAAGCCCTGAGTTCAAATCCCAATACCACCAATAAATAAATAAAATATCAAGAAATATCTAATCAGTGCATAAATAGCTCCTTTTTCTCCTGAATGTTATTTTAAATTTGTTTGTGGGTATCAAGATTCACACATTGTATTTGAAATGTTTCTCAAATTTCATTCATATTTTTTCTTTTCCATTTCTTTTGGAAGAAATTGGGTGATTTGTCTTGTATAATCCCCCACATTCTGTATCTGGCTGATTACATCCTTATATCATTTAGCCTATTCCTCTGTCCCCATATTTCCTGTGAACTGTATTTGGATCAAGGGGTCTGATCTGATGTGGGTCTGATTTGAGGGCAGAGATATTTCATAAGTGGTGCTGTGTACTTCTATCTGGAGGCATATGTTTGGGGTGCCTTTCTTTTTTTGAAATGTTTGTGCCCAAGGATGATTGTTAGCTAGATCTATTATTTCATTAAAGGTTTGAAGAATGGTGATATTCTATCATTCTTTCTTCATTTATTACCTAGAATACTTCTAAAAAGAGAAACTACCCTTTACCAAATAAGGGTTACCCTGAAGTACAATTTGTACAGAGAGGCAAGTTCAATGCTCGATTCTTCTGTCATTTTTTCAGAATAGTAAATCCCTCTCATCTAAAGAGATTTCTTTAAAATTACCATTAACAATACAGAAATTTAGCATACTTGATGAGTTTCAATCCTTTGTTATTACTCTCATCAAAGTACAAATTTCCTCATTATTGGCCAATGGGAACATCTCCAGGGTGGCTCCTAAGTTCATAAAACAGAACTCTTGGATACCTTTCTTATTTCTGAAGTTGGCCAGTACCAGCCATTTCTTCAAGGATCTGTGTTTCCTTTTAGTAAGCAATGATAGGTAGAGGCCACAGTTTATCCCTTGGCTTTCTTTTCTTTCATCAATTATATAAATAATATGTGCTTATTATTTTAAAAAGGTAGACCAGATGTCATGATACATGCATATAGCCATAGCTACTCTAGAGGTGGAGACAGGAGGATCACATAGGGACATTCAAGGCCAGCCTGGCTAACATAGTGGGACTCTGTCTATCACCCCCCCACACACACACACACACATGCATGCACAAAATCAGAGATATAGATAAATTGAAAGAAGGTTGAAAATACCATAATAATGCCAGAGAAATATTGTTAAATTTTGGTAACTTACATTCTAGACATACATATGTATTTTAACGACAACATACAATGGATATTGTATGTTTACTTGCCTTTTAAGAATTCAGCCAAATTCCATAGGCATTTTTCTGTACTATGATTACACTTCCCCAAGATAATTTAAAAGGCTGCTTGGTATGTCATCATTTGAAATAAGCAGCTCAACTCCTACTCTTGGACACCTATGCTGTTTCCTATTTTTCCATATTCTAAAAGAAAGTTCAATTTCACCTTTAATTTAAAGCAACAGTTAAATATGTAATAAAATTTCATTTATAATTTATAATGCATTTATAATATTTATTAATGAAAATTTCATACTTATTTAATATTCTCTAGAGCTGGGACCTGTGCTGTAGCAGTCCACAAAAGGTTCTTCAATGATTCCAATGTGCACTTTGTCCTAGAATGAAAGCAGATGGATAATAATGACTTATTGTTCCAGTTCAGTGCTGATCTGGACTCAGAACAGCTGTGAAGGGGGCACTTAGGAATCTTCTTCCTTGCCAGCACACCTGGTCAAGGCAAGCAACTGAGGTGTCCTCATAAACTACTAGTGGCTCACAAAGCATAGTTCTTGGCCAGCAATATTGGTATCTTCAATGCAAAATTTTGGATCCAAGCCCAGATACTGGAGAGATGGTGGAAAATGGAGGTCACAACTGTTTGGATTTTAATAGGTCCTCCAGG